TTTGGAGGGCCTTAGAACACAGGATGCGAGAGTTGGGAGGGCTCTTAGAACACAGGATGTGAGAGCTGGGAGGGACCTTAGAACACAGAATGTCAGATCTGAGAGGGGCCTAAGACCATCTAGTTCACCCCATTTATTTTATAGATGAGGGAACCCAGGGAATGGAGGTGATTTGCTCAAGGTCGCATGGCAGTAAGCAGCAAAATTTGAACCCAAGTCTTGTGACTCCAAATCTAGCACCCTTTCCACCATTAGCAGACTTGCTCCTAGTGTTAGGGACCGGGTGCCAGCTGATGCAGGGTCCCTGGCTCCTGTGCCTACAGGATGGCTGGAGGGAATCCGCTTGGCAGACGGCGAGCGGGGCTGGGTGCCCCAGGCCTACGTGGATGAGATCACCAGCCGCAGTGCCCGTCTTCGAAACATCTGGGAGACCAGAAGGATCGAGAGTGCCACCAATAAACTACAGGAGACAGCTGCATGATAGACCAGGGAGCGGCCTCTGACTCTGGCCTGAGGTGCCCCACAACCCTCCATCTCGCCCCCACTGGTCTCTGTGCCCTCAACAGTGCCCTCTGCAGCCTCTACTGGAGTCTCTGAGACAGGGTACCCACCCTGGCACGGAGGAGCCCGCCCCGCTAGGCCATATGACGGGGCAGATGACTTGTGGGTCAATGTCCCCTAGCTTCGTAGGCCTTAACTTCCTCCAGGATGCCTGGGGTGGAGGGAGCAATGATAACTCTGTCAGCCTCTCCTGGGGTCGGGGAGGGGAGGCTGGAGGCTGGAGCCTGGAGCCTGGATGGTAGATCCCTGGGGTTCCCCGGTCCTTATTTTGCTCCCTTGGGGCAAACTACCCTAGTGACTGACTTGGGGAAAGATGTGGCTGAAACCTGCTGGACTCCTCTTCCTGGACAACCCAGTAAGAGCTGGGCATTCTGTATCATTAAATGACCTGCCTTTGTTTACTTGGAGTTCAAAGGTGTAGCTGCCTGCCCTGATGGAGGAAAGAGAGCGCTTGCTGATAACTTGGAAACTGTAGTAAGAATAGCTCAGGCTCAGGAGCGTAGGGGGCCTTTCCTGGGAAAAGCCCCCTTTCTGGAACTCTGTTGACTGGTGGAATGAGGTCAGGGTGTGTGACAAAGCACTATAGCATTATAGCACATCAGACATGGAAGGGACCTTATAACACAAGTTATTAAAACCTGGGCCATTAGAGCTGAATGTTAGAGCATGAGAGACAGTAGAGCACTGAATGTCAGATCAGAACGAGATATTAGAGCATTGAATGTCATATCAGGATGAGACATTGGAGTATTGAATGTCAGATCAGAACAAGACATTAGAGCATTGAATGTCAGATCAGAATGAGGCATTAGAGCTTTGAATGTCAGATCAGAACAAGGCATTAGAACACTGAATGTCAGATCAGAACAAGACATTAGAGCATTGAATGTCAGATCAGAATGAGACATCAGAGCATTTAATGTCAGATCAGAAAAAGACATTAGGGTGTTGAATGTTGTATTAGAACAAGATATTAGAGCATTGAAAATCAGAGCTGGAAAAAACAGGATTGTAGATTTCAAGCTAGAAGGGACCTTAGAGGTCCTAGAGTCTAACCTACTCATTTTACAGATGAGGAAACTGAGGCACAGAGAGATTAAAACATTTGCCCAAAGTCACAGAGCTAGTAAGTATCTGAGTAGCCTTTGAACACAGCTCCTCCAGTCCCCAGGACCAATGTTCACTGTGTCTCAAGACCTGGGTGTAGAGCTAGGAGAAATCTTAGAGTATTGAATGTCAGAACCAGGAAGGACCTTAGCATGTTGAATGTCAGAGCTGGAAGGGGTTTTAGAGAGCATCTCATTTAATTTCCTCCTTTCATGGAGGTGGAAACTGAGGCTCGCCAGGCAAGTGAGTTGGTATAATGGAAAGATCACCACTTAGAGCTAAAAGATGGGAGTTCTCTGGTCTCAGCTCTTTAATTTTTGCACCATGCGTCCTTAGGCAAATCACTCCCCTCTATTCTCTGGGCCTCAAGTTTCCTCAACTGTAAAATGGGAATATTGCCTCACGAGGTAGTCGTTGGTATGACCAAACAAAATAATACATATCAATAAAGCATCTTGGACCAGACGGACGCTGACCAGCTGGAGAGTGTCCAGAAGGGGCCGGCCAGGGTGGTGATGGCCCCTGAGTTCATGACAGGTGAGGGTCAGTTGAAGCAATGGGGGAGTAAGCCTGGAGAAGGGAAGCGTGGGGTGGTGGGTGTGGGGAGGTGTCTGAGTTGTCTTGGGGTCTGTCAGCTGGAATGGAGCTTTCTTGTTTCTGCCTCAGTGGGCAGAACTCACTGGAATGGGTGAAGGTTCCAAAGTCAGGCCACCTGAAACAGGAGGGTCCATCTTGGGAGGTCCCCAGGCAGTGCCTGGATGGCCACTTGTGGTGTGTGCAGAAGAAGGGCCCCTGTCCAGGGATTGGATCACTGCTGGTGCTCTTATTCCTTCCAGCTGTTGAGAGCTTGTGATTAATCAGGCGCATTACCCAAGGTCACACATCAAGTTAGGGGCCAAGGGAGGATCGGAACCCAGACCTCTCCGGGGGCCTCTCCCTGCTTCTTCATGTCCTGGGGGACTTTGGGGGGACCCAGAGCCAGGGTATGGAGCCAGGGCTCTCGTGCTGGCTTCCTCAGAATGGTCAGTGTTCAATATTTTCGTTAATTTAGGCAATCTTATGTAAAAAAGTCCCAGGTAGGAAGGAATAGCGGGGAGTGGGGCCTCCCAAAAGGGCAACCAAAGCTTTTCATTTCGCTCTCTCCACCCCACTGGATAATACAGCTCACAACAGCCCTGGGAGGTTGAATAGAGGGGCTTTTTTGTGGGATGGAGTAGGGTGAGACCTGTGATCTCATTAGGGTAAAGAACTTCCAGCAAGGAAACTCCCTCCATCAATTCAGGTTAGTGACTGCACTGCAACAGTGTGGTATGGGGGAAAGAGGCTCTAGATTGGGAGAGTTCCTGGGTTCAAATGCTGGCCCTGTCATTCATTTTACCTTGGGCAAGTCACTTAACTGCTATCTGCCTCAGTTTCATCATCTGTAAAATGAGGAAGGCAAGGTGAAAAATAAGCATTTATTAAGCACCTACTGTGTGCCCGGCACTGTGATAAGTGCTTTACAAATATTATGCTATTGGATCCTCACAACAACCATGGGAGGTTGGTGCTGTTCTTATCCCTGTTTTACATTTGAGGAAACTGAGGCAGGCAGTGGCTAAGTGACTTGCCCAGGGACACACACAGTAAGTGTCTGAGGTGACTGCTGTGTCCACTGTACCACCTTAGATGACTTGCAATAGATGGTCTCTGCGGCCCTTTCCAGCTCTAAATCCATGATTCTTTGGTCCTGTGAGAGTTAGCTGTATCCCTAACCCAGGTTTTTATGACCCTCAGATTAGCTGTCTATTCACAACACCACACCGCCTCAAGTATGATTAGCCCCATTTTACAGATGAGGAAAATGAGGCTGGAATAGGCCAAGCAACTTGCTCAAAGTTACATGGTATCCGAGCAAGGATTTGAACCCAGGTCTTCTTGGCTTCAAGTCCACAGATTTTTCTCCCTCCGCAAAGCTGCCTTTCTAAACGTTGAAAATCCTCTCCTTGGGTAAGTAGGTTGTCTAAGGCACTGCCAGTGCCTGTCCTGATATCTAAGGGTTGGTTGGCTATCAAAGGCTTTGCTGGAAGGAAGAAAGGAAGGAAGGAAGGAAGGAAGGAAGGAAGGGAGGGAGGGAAGGAGGAAGGAAAAAAGGAAGGGAGGGAGGAAAGGAGGAAGGAAGGAAGGAAGGGAGGGAGGAAGAAAGGAAGGAAGAGAAGGAAGGGAGGAAAGAAGGAAGGAAGGGAGGGAGGGAGGAAGGCTCAATAGCCAGAGAAAGGTCATTTCTTTCTG